TCTTTTGGGTCACTTGCCTTGCCCCTTTAGGCAGGTAAGTGTGAGACCCCTCCTGTAAGTAATGGAGCACATGACGAATGTATAAACAGATGGAAACCACACCCTGATGTATGTTTCAGATAAAATACCTCTGACCAGTGCGGGGAGAGAGACAGGGCAAATGGAGACAATGAATGGAAGACATGGTACGATTTGTCTCCAATAGGAAACAGGATGATGTTTTTTTTTCCAATGACAAAGAGGCAGAGGAGGCTCATCATACATGGAACATTAAAACTTGAGCACAGGACAGAGAAACCAAGGGTGGGAGCAGGGAAATCCTCATTTCCTTTCTCACCAGCTGCCTCATCTGCCAAGCCCTGCACAGTGGGAGGCAGGAGTGGGGCAAAAGAGACTAAGAATGCTGAAGCTTCTCCAGCCCTGGCTGTTGTTGTTGTTGCCATGTTTTGTTTTTTTCCCAAGCCGCCCTGGTTGCTGCTGCTTTAGAAAACCAACTGCAAAGGAAACACTTTGGTGGGTTTTGCTTGTTTGTCCCCTTCCTAAGCAAAATTCAAGTGTGGATTCCTTGTCCCTTTACCCACAAAGTAGAAGAAACAGAGGGTGTTGCTGTTCTAAAGAAGGAGAGGGGAGGGAAAAACAGACCTACAGTCTTCTACCAACCTTCTGCGCTGGGGTGGGGGAGGCGATTCTGCCAACTGACATCACAGTCCGTGTCGCGGGACATAACTTCCACCACTCAAAGCTTTATTTGCCTTTTTAGAGATACAGGGAAACGTTGAAAATCGGCTCCAAGGTTGACATTGCAGTTATTAAAACCAAACAAAAGAACCTTTCCCAAGTCTGGCTGGTTCTTCTTAAATTTATCTGGGCCCCCACTACCTGATTTAAGGCAACGAGCAGATGTTTCACAGCAGGAAGCACATTAGCTCCAGATGCCGCCGCTTTGTTCAAGACAGGCACACACATGCACTGGCAACCACACACACATTCATGTGCATGCACACACACACATACACACAGGACTCAGGGCAACGAACATTCGCAAGCTCCCCTTCCAGCACTTGGCATGCCCGCATGGACCATTTGTAACCTCTGCCTGCTGTTCTGACAGAGAGATGAGCAGCGGGAGTGAGTAGCCAATCAGATCCTGCCCCATCGTCTTCCCGCAGTCTCCTAGGTAACCGGCACAGGGACACATCAGCTAGCTGGGTACCACGGACACACACACACACACACACACACACACACACACACACAAATCCATAATTGCAGGAACACCAGATGTGCCTGTCAGAACCCTAGACAGCTCCCAGGAGCGGCATTCAATGCCTCTGGTCCCCGCCTGTCTGGCAGCCTCAGCCCCTACAGCTTTCCCACCTCCGCTCCTTTACTCATGCCATTCCTCTGCCTGGCGTGCCTCTCCCCACTGCCATCTCCATCACTCAAAACCTTGCTCATGTTCGGAGCCAGCCCATGTCCTTGGTCAAGACTTCCAAAGGTGCCCAACACGGAATAAGATCCACGCTCCTTCTCCTGTGGTGACCTGGCCTTTCATGATCTGCCTCCTCCAGCCTCACTGCTCATCACTCTCCCTCGCTCCTTGCTCTTCCTCCAACAGGTTAAATTGGTCCTCTCCACACTACGCCCTACAGACCAGGGCTTTTCTTGGGACTTGCTATTCCCTCGCCTACTAGCTCTGCCTTCTGCTCTTGGCAGGCCTGAGCCTCCCTGCTCTTTAGTCTCAGCTCAAAAGTCACCTTTCAGAGAGGCTTTCCCTGACATCCTTGGCTACCCTATCTGGAGAAGTTCCCTCCCCTGCGACTTCCCCACAACATTGCCCTCTGTTCTTCTGTTGCCCTCATCTCACTCATGACTCTAGAACTGTCCCATTCCTACTTATATTTCCTTGTCCCCCGTCTCCCCTCCCTAGAATGTGAAGTCTGTTACAACAAGGTCTTTGTCTCGTTCATGGCCATATCCCCAGCCCCCAGAACAGGGCCCAATAAATATTTGTTGAATGAATAAAAAATCATTTCCTCCTCACTGCTCCTGTATTTCCCCATCTCTCTAATAAGACGAGATGACTTCTATTAACCCTCCTGGCTCACATTCCAAGAGTCCATTAGAGAGCAGAAAGGACTGGCATAAGGAGGAAAATTAATCAGGCCACACCACGGGAAGGATCCGCCAGTGGAAAGCTGACCTGCCCTGGGCTGCAGCGCCCCCCTCCTCTGAGCAGCCTGCCCACTCAGAATTGTTGCTGCCTTCAACTTCACGTTCCCCAAGCACTGGGCACCTTGAACTTTTGTTATGTGAGGGTCTGGGGGCAACTCAAAGCTGAGGACTGGCTTTCATTTCTTGGATCCCACACAGGAACCAGCAAGAGCCTGGGGGCGGTGGGGGCACGCGGGGAAGTCCTCTGGAAGCATTTACTGCAGTAAAGAGGGAAAAAGAAATGTGTCACTGTCTACAGGACCACAAACATCAAGGTGGAATATCATTAGAACACAAGTCACACACACACATACATACACACACACACACGCATGCCTGCACACACAAACTCAGAAGCATCATGAAGCTAGAATCAGAGTTCCCCAATCCCAGCGGCAGCCCGTGTCTCTCTTCAACGGACATGACTATGACTTCAGGTTCCAAAAACTGCAGAGTGATCTGGACACGTGTGCTGTGCAAGTGTGTGGGGAGCATAACAGGGAGCATAACCACGCTTTTGGCCAACCTCCTTGGGGAAGGCCAGATGGTGGATTCAAGTAGCCACATGGTAGACACAACCCAATTGGATCCCCCACATCCTAGCTTTGGAGATCCTCAAGGTGGCTGCTCATAACCCAGAAATCCACCCTGAGGCCTGAGCTACTCCACTGACCAATGCACCAGCTCATTTCTCCAAATACGAAGTTAAAGCAGATGTAAAGATCAAGAAAGGAAGAGCAGGATTAGCATTTCTTGAGCATCTGCTACGTGCTAGGCTTTATACTAGAATCTGTTAACACTGATTCCTCAAGACCACCCTGCAAGGTTACGCTTCCCACTTAATGGATTGGGGAAAAAAAAAAAAAAAAGACCTGAAGCCCAGAAGAATTAAGTAGTATGCCTAAGGTCACAGAGCTGGCAAGTGGAGAGGCCTAAGTCCAGGACATGAGTCTGGTCTTCTTTCCCCAGGGCCTTAAATTATACCACAGAATAAGCAGGTAAGCTGGTTTTATTCAAAACGTCCCTCCCACTGACTCTTCGCTGAGGATGCCAGGTCCACATCCCCGTCTCTGCGTCTCTCTCTGTCACTCTTGGGCTTGACTGACCTCCCACCATGAGCCTCTTATCAAGCTGGACACATATATCAAAGTCTCTCATTTGAGATCCAACGTTCCTGTGGCCCAGAGAAAGCCGGGGATTTTGTCTTTTTAAAATAGTACTTTCCTGCCAGCGCGGGTGGATGCACCAGCCACCCTCTGATTTAGTGCTGAGCTCAAGGATCAATCTCAAGTAAGATTTTCCAAGGAAAACTCAAATGCTGGGTACTTCCTGGCATTGACGAAGGGAGAAGTGGCCTCCTCTCAAAAGATGTGGCCAGTGGCAGGCAAAATGACTGTAGGTATCCCAAGACCCACATGCCTCATACATGTCACATGTGAGCCTCATTGATACCCGCATGGATCTCAAACATGACACCCACATGCCTCCATGCACACCTCACACACACACACACACACACTCACACAGGGTGGGGAATGCGAATCCGGAGCAAGAGGGCAACATCCTCTGTCCCAAGACATCACGGCTCCCACTTCAGGGCCTGCTCTGGGCTATGTGCTATGCCAAGGCCAAGACCTCATTTCATCCCCCTAGGAACCCCACAGGACAAGCGTTACGCCCTCCTAACAGATACAGAAAGTGAGCCTAGAGAGAGGGAATGATTTGTCCAAGATCACAGAGCATGCCTGTGGGTGAGTTGCCCCGTTTTCTAAAGGGCCAAGCTCAGACTGAACGTTGATCATGGGCACCTGGCTCTGCGAGATTTTCTTCTCAGGGGCACTCCTCCAAGATCTCCTTGTTGGTAGCCTTATCCATCTTCCTCCTCCCTCAACCCCAGGGAAGGAAACCCCGACACCCTCTGGGCCCTAAAGCTGTCCCATCAGTACCAACTCAGGTTGGAGGAGAAGAAGGTCTGCCCCTCCGCTGGGCAGAGCTATCAGCCTGCCAGGGTCTTGGGGCACCAGCTAAGGCCTGATGACGGTCTAAACAAGACTCTCCAGAAGCTCTGCTTCCAGGTCCTCAGAACCTAGGGCCACAGTGGGGTAGAGTTAACAGACCTGACTTAACCCTAGGGACAGGGCAGGAGGAGCAGGGATGAGTTCTCGCTGTCACCCTCCTCTTCCCCTCCTCCATGCCCCACACAGGAGCTTCTAGCCTTGGCTGGAAATGGATCCTTTCCTATGAACTGAGCCGGGCCCAACCTGGGGGCCGACAGGAAGGGGGGTGCTGGACACCACCAAAATCTTGTTGGTCACGAAGACTTAGGTTCATATCCCTGCTTTACCACCTACTGGTCGTGTGACCTTGGGCAGGAGGCTTCCTCTCTCCGAGGCTCAGGGTCCTCACCTGTAAAGTGGAAAGAATGACAGCGCCCTCCTGAGGGGGCGGCTGTGAAGGTTAAAGACGGGAGCAGATGTGAGGCTCCGGGGTGCCCGTAAGTCCGCCATTATGCCCCCCTAAGTGAGCAGAAGGTGGGCGGCTGCCATTCCCACCTCACTCTCTGACTCACAGTTCTAGCAATTCCTAACTAGCACCGAATCCGAACTTTCCTCAGCAGTGGCAGGGCCTGGGCGCGGGTCCTTCCTCCTCCCTCCGCCACCGAGGTTCCGACAACAGGTACTAGGGTGGAGCAGCCCTGGAGGCGCCCCGGCGGAGGGGGCTGCGCCGCAGCGCTGCGGCAGGGCCAGGCCCGGGCCGGGGGCAGTGCGGCCGAATCTACCCCTCACCCCCGCACCCCCTCCCGCCTCCGGCATCTATGCAACTTTGACGAACTGCAGCCTGTGGGGTCGGCAACGGGGCCGCTGCCGGACGTGCGAAGGAAAGTTGGGTCCCGGCGACTGCAGCGTCGGGATCCGAAGTCCCCCGCCGAGAGCACCCGCACATTCCGACCCCCGGCAAACTCGCCGGGAGCCGGGAGGCACGTGGCGGCCGCGCCGGCCAGGGCTCGCTCCGGGAACCGGACTCGCGAGCGGGTCCGGGGCTGCGCCCTCGAGGGTTCAGAGGCTGCGCTCCAGCCTTCCGCGGTCGCCCTGCCCCGGGTCCCACCTCCGCGCGCCCTGCGGAGCGCCCCCGCAGGTTTCCCCGGCCAGGCTCCGCTCCGCACCGCGTGTCCTGCGGTGACCCCCGCAAGCTCCGCGCCTCGGACGCGGCCGCCGGCCCTTCACCTCCCGCGGAGACCCTCAGCCGGCGCCCCCCGGCCAGCTTGGCGCTGGGTCCGCCCTCCGCGCCCCGCGCCGCGCCGGTGCTCACGGGCCTGGGCAGCGGCCGCGTCCTACCTTCGTCCGGCAGCCGCTGCAGGCAGAGCGCGAGGTTCCTCCGCCAGCCCCGCATCCCCGCGGCCGCCCTGCGGCCCGGCCCGGCCTCGCCAGCCCGGCCCCAGCCCCGGCCCCGGCCCCGGCCCCGACCCCGCCCCCGCCGGGCT